AGTTACTTAGAGCGACGATTTTTTTTCCGTCGCGCAAAGTTACTTAGAGCGACGATTTTTTTTCCGTCGCGCAAAGTTACTTTGAGTGACGAATTTTTTTTTCGTCGTGCAAAATTTGGTTGCGCAAGATTTTGAGCGACGATGTATTGTCGTCGCGCAAAAGTTGGTCGCGCAAAGTCTTAAAAAAAAAAAAAAAATTTCATCCCGCATCCCATTTTTGGTACCCGCCAAATTTTTGCGCGACAAAAATATATATTGGTCGCGCAAAGTCACTTTGAGCGACGAAGTTTTGAGTTTCGTCGCGCAAAGTTACTTAGAGCGACGATTTTTTTTCCGTCGCGCAAAGTTACTTAGAGCGACGATTTTTTTTCCGTCGCGCAAAGTTACTTAGAGCGACGATTTTTTTTCCGTCGCGCAAAGTTACTTAGAGCGACGATTTTTTTTCCGTCGCGCAAAGTTACTTTGAGTGACGAATTTTTTTTTCGTCGTGCAAAATTTGGTTGCGCAAGATTTTGAGCGACGATGTATTGTCGTCGCGCAAAAGTTGGTCGCGCAAAGTCTTAAAAAAAAAAAAAAAATTTCATCCCGCATCCCATTTTTGGTACCCGCCAAATTTTTGCGCGACAAAAATATATATTGGTCGCGCAAAGTCACTTTGAGCGACGAAGTTTTGAGTTTCGTCGCGCAAAGTTACTTAGAGCGACGATTTTTTTTCCGTCGCGCAAAGTTACTTTGAGTGACGAATTTTTTTTCGTCGTGCAACATTTGGTTGCGCAAGATTTTGAGCGACGATGTATTGTCGTCGCGCAAAAGTTGGTCGCGCAAAGTCACTTTGAGCGACGAAGTTTTGAGTTTCGTCGCGCAAAGTTACTTAGAGCGACGATTTTTTTTCCGTCGCGCAAAGTTACTTTGAGTGACGAATTTTTTTTTCGTCGTGCAAAATTTGGTTGCGCAAGATTTTGAGCGACGATGTATTGTCGTCGCGCAAAAGTTGGTCGCGCAAAGTCACTTTGAGCGACGAAGTTTTGAGTTTCGTCGCGCAAAGTTACTTTGAGTGACGAATTTTTTTTTCGTCGTGCAACATTTGGTTGCGCAAGATTTTGAGCGACGATGTATTGTCGTCGCGCAAAAGTTGGTCGCGCAAAGTCTTAAAAAAAAAAAAAAATTTCATCCCGCATCCCATTTTTGGTACCCGCCAAATTTTTGCGCGACAAAAATATATATTGGTCGCGCAAAGTCTTAAAAAAAAAAAAAAAAAAATTTCATCCCGCATCCCATTTTTGGTACCCGCCAAATTTTTGCGCGACAAAAATATATATTGGTCGCGCAAAGTCACTTTGAGCGACGAAGTTTTGAGTTTCGTCGCGCAAAGTTACTTAGAGCGACGATTTTTTTTCCGTCGCGCAAAGTTACTTTGAGTGACGAATTTTTTTTCGTCGTGCAAAATTTGGTTGCGCAAGATTTTGAGCGACGATGTATTGTCGTCGCGCAAAAGTTGGTCGCGCAAAGTCACTTTGAGCGACGAAGTTTTGAGTTTCGTCGCGCAAAGTTACTTAGAGCGACGATTTTTTTTCCGTCGCGCAAAGTTACTTTGAGTGACGAATTTTTTTTCGTCGTGCAAAATTTGGTTGCGCAAGATTTTGAGCGACGATGTATTGTCGTCGCGCAAAAGTTGGTCGCGCAAAGTCACTTTGAGCGACGAAGTTTTGAGTTTCGTCGCGCGAAGTGTCTTTTCGCGGCGAGTACTTTTTTGGCGTGCGACATTTTGCGCGCAAGGGTTATTTTGTAGTAGTGAGTACTAACCAGAAGGTCTAAAGATGATGATCTGTCTTGAGGGTTCTTCTGTGTGCTGCAAATGTACTGGGAAATATAAACAGTCACATGCCAGTGAATTAGATATGTATAAGGTGAAATATGCATGTAAATATCTTATTAACAGGCAGACGAACAAAACTCGGGGAGAACTGATCCGATGGTGCAGAAGGTGGTGGGCTTTCCACAATTCCCTCCAAAAGTTCATAAAATCTTGGCCAGCTTTGCTGATCAAAATGAAATAATATTTAAGTTGCCTTCACGCTGTTTGATGAATAACCATGGCTTTTTGGCAAGGGATTATGTTCGGCCGCTTCAATCTTTTCTCCTCTCAAAGCTTCTTCTCCATTGATGTCAGGAATTATGGAAGTGATAGAAAAAAAAATTTACACCCGACAAAAACTTTGAATTTTTATCTCAAATTTGTTTGGAATCAAAGTCTAAAATTCTAATTTGATTAGGGTTCAATTATAATTACTTTTGTTTCACAATTCAATATATCTTTTTTTGTCATTTTATATTAGGGTAAATTAGTAATTCAATAAATAATTTGGTAGTATGGTGTACAGAGCTGGTTCATTAGATTTGGAGGCCCTGTGCAAAGAAAATTGATGAGGCCCTATGCGTTTAAAAAAATTAAAAAAAAAATCGTAAATTTTTCAAATTTCAAAATATATAAATTAAAGTGGTTCTTCGATCTAAGTCCAAAATTTCTAGCCGTCGTTGGTTTAGCCCACACCTTTTTTGCTGTAGATTTGGGTCAATTGACTTTTATTATTTTTTTCATGTGTCAATTTTACCCTTTGAGGTAAAGGAAAGAACAATACTTGAAAATCCGAATTAATGTATCAATTCTTTCCTTCTAAATAGGTTTTAGATTTTAAATTTGGAATCCTTCCATTGCCGCCATGACATAAAAGAAGTTCATATAAAACAATGGAAGTAGAAGAATTATTGATGATATCTTCCCAACAAATATTTTCTATAAATTAAACTAAAATCTTCATTAATGGCATGAATTACATCTATTTTCACATACTCACATCCACTTAATTGTCTTCTATATCTATTTTCAATTCCATATGATGTTTTTTAATATAGTGACATAAGATACGTCATACCAAGCCACACCAAGTCAGGCAAAAATGGAAAGAAAAAAAAAATGGCCAGAGAAACAACAGCAAGTCAAGCAAGTCAGACAAAAATGGGGAAAAAATGGTCAGATATACCACACCAAGCCAGCAAAAATGGAAATAAAATGAAGATGTTGATATGAGGGACATGTAAAAAAATTGGAAATAGTAGGAGGAAGAGGAGAAAAATGTTTTTTTTTAATCAAAAAGAGGAGAACATGGATTCAACCAAAATAAGAAAAAGAACAGGAGAAAAGAGAGAGGTTGCTGGGAACAAAAACGTGCTTGGAGAATTATAAGGAAATCTTATAGCAATAGTAATAATTGTAAAATTGTAATGCAACATTATTTATATATAATATAATGCTTGCAGAAAAAAAATAAAATTGGAGGCCCCTCATTTTTGGGAGAAATTATAGAATAGTACTGTAATACCATGCACTGGCGGACTCAGGAATTTTTTAGCGGATGTGCAATTTTGAAATGTTAAAAACTCTTTGTGGATTGAACCTCTAAGACTTTTTACCTAGATTGACCTTAGGTCCCTTCATGCATTCATATCATACATGAAAAATTGTTCTATGTAAAAATATTGACTAAGTATGAAAAATGGTTTTTCGGAATAATCATTTTCTCAAGATAATTTTTGGTGGATTTTATTCCTTACACATCAAATAAAAAAACATGATTTTATGGGATTTTATTATGAAGTATATATTGACTTAATGAGCTATCATTTTTAGCCTAAATCGTATTTTGCACAAAAACCGATTTTTCAAATTTTGATTTAGGGGGAATTTGATTTTCTAGTATTTTTATTTGAATCCAAATGGGGGGTACTTCCTTATTTACATTGTAAACTTAAGTAAATTGAATAATATAAAAATAAATGAAAGTAAAAAGACAAAGTGGCAATTTCAAGGACCTACAATGGTTTTTTTGGCGAAGGGAGGTGCAGCTCCTTAACAGGTCTGCCAGTGCCACCACGTCAAATGGTGATACTCCCATTCAAAATTTGACATGTGTATAACTTTTTGACAACAGGAGTATTCATTTTACCCTTTAAAAGAATTTTAAAAACTTACAAATAAAAAAGAAAGAAAAATAAAAACCCAAAAATCATTTGCCTCATCGACGTCGACAAAGCCCCCCCTGTCATAACTATCTGTCTCTCTATCTGTGAATATGATGATAGCCCATGGCAAATGAATTTGCTCTTGATATATGTTGAAAGCTTAGATTCCTCAACGACCATAAACTCACCCCCAAGAAAGTTTCAATCTAAATTCCTTGAACCCTACCTGTAATAGAGAGGAGGGAGGAAGAGGGAGGAAGAGTGAGGGGAAGAGAGAAAGACACAAAGACATGAAAAAAGAAAGACCATTGGCAGCCATGGTAGCAGGGACGGACCCAATATTTCAAAATGAGGTGGGCTAGATTTACCTTATTGAACTATTAGATTTTAGGCTTATGGAATTGATCATATACATATATATATAAATTTAATTTAAGAACATATCATTTTTATTTTCTTTGTTTAAAAGGCCTATTTTACACCAACAATGCTAGGTAAGGTCTACCATGATGAACAAAAATGAATTAAGAGAAAAGAAAATTCATAAGAAAATTCAAAAATGAAAATTTATGATCACAAAGATAGAGTCAGATAGACGGATGGCAACTAGAGGTAACACTATAATTATCTATAAATGGGATTAACATTAACACTAACTATGAGAAACAAATTTAAAAAAACTCCCATTTAAGTTAACATTAACACTATCTATAGTGTATTAAGTTAATTTTAGGGTTCGTTTAATAGCACGCTTTTTGTGGCTTCAATTTTCTCTGTTGTGGTGGGCCAGTGCAGCAAGAAAAATAAGTGAAAGCTGCATGCATGGTTTCGGTTTGCTTGATTATATATAGCACAGCAGGTTGGAGCTAGGAAAAGCAATAAGCAACGGGAGAGAAAGAAAGAGAGAAGTGAGTTTACATTTGTATACATAAAAAAATATAAATCAATCATATTGAAGCGCGAGCGTGAGATCATCAGAAATGGCAGAATTGGCAGAAATAGCAGAATTACCAAAGTTTTTTATTGCTTTTAAATCAGTCAAGAACCAGAAATACCTGGTCTACCACAAAGACCAATCCACCCCAACGTCGCCACATTTACTCCAATTCTCTGGAAAGGATAGTCACAGCCAATACGCAAGGTTCAAAGTAGAGACGGACGTAAACCAACCCGGTCTGGTGCATATAAAATGCGACTACAACGACAAATACTTGAGACTGGCAAGCGAAGACAGTTTGTGGATTGTGGCCGCGGCTGACAAGAAACAGCCAAATAAAAACCTGGGGTCATGTACACTCTTCAAACCTGAGCTTGTGGAATTCCGGCCACCGTACAAAGTATACAAGTTCATCCACGTGTACAAGGGAAGCCCTATAGGGCCAAAATCTGGGCCCGGCTTCCACGACATCCTCGCTGCAGAAAGCGAAAACCCTGCCTTGATTGTCGAAATTGTCGGAAAACATACAGGATGATCATCCTGTTAAGTTAATTTGATGTTTGTGGGTAGCGTCGCTGGAAACCCTCACGAGACTTCACTCGTCCTATTAGGGTCACCTATAAGTTTAAAAGGCTTGTTGCATACACTAAATGCAATCGCGTTCCCTGCGAAAGTGGCATTTTCTTAAGTTCTCCTTTTGTTGTGATTTGGGTTTCAATAATATTGCATGCAGCTGCTGCTCATGCATTAATTTATGTAACCTAGCTAAGACTATTTGTGGGAATAAACGTTGTGCTTATTTGGTTTTACTATTCCGATCTAGATTACTTGATGCATTCATGCATTACTTCCATGATCCAAGAATTACTCGGGTCCTTGATTATTAAAAGACTAGTGAGAATAATTGACACTGAGAATTATCAAGCCAGATAAACAATAATAGTTCAATCCACGCATTCCAAGGTACGCACATTAGAAAATCAAAAGGGGAATTAGAGATTCAAACAAAATTCTCAACAATATATCAACATCTCAGAACTTTTGTTCCATCTCCTATAAACATTTATCATTTAATCGATAAACGTATTATTGATAATACACATTGATCAGAGACATGCATAGGTAGTTTCTTGATGATACTGATCAGAGAACTCTGACAACTGCAAAGCTCTAGCAACTTCTACCAGTTTCATTAGTTTCTTATTTCCACTAATACGAGCTTCATCAAGTGCAGTGCTGCCCCCATCTGCAATCAGGAAGTAGACTAATGTAGGGGTCTTTTTGTTCCAGCAGCCTGACGAACGGGCTTCGGCTGCAGTAAGAAGAAAAAGAAACAAAACTCCCCAAGTGTCTGAGTTCGAAACCGAGCTCCCAAAAGAGTTTTTGGAAAGTCTGATGAGACTTTAGAAAAACACTATTAGGTTCACTTCACCAATAACCAAATAAGCATGATAAAATCAATTAATGGCTTAGCTTGAGGGGCCTGTGGCATGGGAGCTAAGCTTTCACAAGTTTAGCAATTTGAGAGAGAGAGAAGCATGAATTTCCTACTGAGAGCGAAAATTTGAAGTAAGACAGAGAAGAACTAGAACGATTTCTATCCTAAAGAAAGAAGAGAAAACAAACGAAGAAGAAGATTGGGTGGCTTGAGTAAATTCTCAGATGCTTGACAAAGCTTGGTCAGGCTCCGAATGGTGATTTTGTTGGGTAGAAGGTGTCCCCTTTTATAGGCACGAAGAACGAGCTTGAGTTTTAATGCCTCAAAGTGGCTCAAAACTTGCATTCCCTGAACCCTCAATGGGTCCTGTGATTGCTTGTTCCCTTCCATGCCACAACCTTCTCAATAAGCCCCGGTTAATTTTATGGCTTGGGCCCACTTAAGCTTGCGACACGGCTTGGAATTAGAATAATGCCTTTTCTTGCATGTTGCCTCTGCTTGTGCTCGAGCTTTATTGCACCGTGATAGGCTATAATTGGGCCAAGTAACACCGAAGGGATATGTGAGCGTGTTTTTGTAATGTTGGCATGCTCTTGGCCCCTTTGTATGTGCTTGCTTGGCATGATACGTGGCTTGTAGCTTGTATTAGCGGGTCCTACAAATTCTCTTTTGTCCCAATTGAGCCTCTTTTGCGTCCTCTTATCTGTGTTGGGCCAAGAATTAATTTGGGCTTAGCCCCTTGGATTTTTGGGCCTCAACATTAGCCCCCTTGATTATTAGGGCCATGAGCAATACTTTGAGATGGGTCAAATAATCAAACCCAGCCCAAAAGCAAAAAATCAAATCCATGCTTCCGATGTGACCTTCTCGTTCCCCGCGTGTGTTGCCATGATTATCTTCTAGCAGTCTCTTGCATTCCCCAGGTACGCTTCCATCAAGTCTGCTTTTATTTTATTTATTTTTTATTTCTTCTTTTATTTCTTCCTCTTGTTTTTGATTTTTTTTCTCCTCTGCACGTGCGAAACCGAGCCACCTACCTTCTTCCTTTGGTTATTTGTAGGTTCACTCTCACACACAAGTCTTGAGAACCCTTGAAAGCGAGAAGGCACAAGGGAGCATCCTCCATGACCATCAGGTGGTTATACCCAGAGAAAACCGTTCGCAACCACTGGGAGAAGCCACTGTTTTCTTTAAAATCCCCAACTTCTCGAACTTTCTCCTCCAATTCAATAGAGACCGAGTTTGGCAAAATCACTTTGTAAAGCACGAAGCAATTTTGGAGGAAGAAATCGCAAGGCAGTTCCCTCTTCTTTTGATTTCGGCAAGGTGCTAGAAAACGCCATCGAGAGCAGTGGTAAGCATCGTTCCTTCGCCTTTTCTCTTATTTCTTCATCTCGTCACCACAAACACATACATCTATGCATATGCATACACATACACATATATTTACATATGGGGGCACTCATACACATATTCTAAGAATTCCTTATGAACAGCATGCCTTCTCAGTCCCTCTTGCTGTGTTCTTGCCTAATTCCTCATGCCCTAAGCTTTGAATTTCAGGTTTGAACCATCAATTAGGGATTTTAGGTGCCCTCCCATTGGTAATTTATCCTAGTCGAACACAAAACCCTTAGGTGGCGTCAAAGTATGGTAGAAAGAGCATAAGTATGCACCGCATCGAATATTTCTGCCTTCATCCAAGAATAACCAATTCATTGTCCTCTTAAATGATTTATTCCTGTAGTGTAGGCCCTCTTTCGTACTTGTGCCAAATGGCCTTTCCCTTTCGCAGAACGGACTTGCTTGATAGTGTAGATTTGGTTCTTCTGCCGACATGGCCTTGACATGAGGTTACAGAAATGCACGTGCGTTCAATATTCGTGAAGGTGCTAGAACTTATGTTTTTTTTTTTGTTTCTTTCCCCTCTTTTTTTTTTTTTTTTTCAGGTTTCTGTGACTTTATGGGTTTTGTCATGGCAACTAATCT